AGACCACCCTCACATCTGACACCAATTTCAAGTTTGGGGTCCCCAAGAACACCTCAGGTTCAATAATTTACTAGGACTGAAAGAACTTACTGAAAGCCACTAAACACACAGTTACAGTGTATTACTGTTAAAAGGTAGAGGTTAAAATCAGCCAAGGGAAAAGACACAGGGGGCAAAGCCCAGGAAAGTTCCAAGTGTGAAGCTTCCAGTTGTCTTCTCCCAGTGGAGTCATAAACATCATTAATTTTTCTTGGCAACAATGTGTGATGACACACCAAAATATTGCCAATCAAGGACACTCACCCAAGCCCTGCTGTCCAGAGCTTTGACTGAAGCCAAGTCACAAAAGCATGGTTGACTCCTGACACATGGCTAGCCTTTAGTGTCCAGCCCATCTGGAGGTCAAGCTGATACTACATGTCCAAAATCTCTACTGTAAGCCATGTTGTTAGACTATCTAGAGTGACTTGAGGCCCCCAAGTAAACAAAGACATTTTCATCAAGCAAGACATTCCAAGAGCTCACCTCCCAGGAGCTGAGGGCAAAGGCCAGACCTCTGGTTGAGTAAGGTTAATTTTTTACTGCTCAGTGTCCAAAAACCCAGAACTAAGCTAGAGTTCTTAACTTTCGGGTGGACTAGATAGGGAGTTTTATGGCCCAGCCTGGAAGTAGCCGGCTTCACTCTGCACATTTTTCACTGGTCATAGAACTTGATCATGTGGATTCTACCTAACCTCAAAAGGGGCTGGGAAATGTAGTGTAGCTGTGTATAGGAGGACACGAACATAGGCTAGTAGCTCTGTCACAATGGTCCTTTCTAGCTCCTGTTCTTGGGAACAATATAGTGCAGGGCTTCAGTGACCCGCAAGTTTAGATTTTGAACTAACAGTTCAAAAATTTTATAGGGATGATGGAATTTAAACTTACTGAGTTACAGGTGTCAGTTAATGGGAAGGGGACCAGTAGACTATATAGTATGAGGCCCATAGATGGCCTGTGATTTGTAGTTGATGCAAAGCCAAACTTCCAGTGAGATTTTGTGCCTCATCAAATATAAATACTGATAAGTGATTTCTGATTGGAGTCTCTTGTTGAATGCTTGTGTTTTTTTCTTCTCAGAAGATTAAAATAAACATTGGAAATAAGGAAATAAGTTAGATGATTGAACTATGGACTCTGGTCCATTAATCCCATATAACATTACTATAAGAATAAATTGTAGGCTAGGTGCTTATTGAGTACTGGAATTCTATCCTGATTCTCAGAAAGTAGTAGGAAGTGCTCTTTCACTTGAAAAACAGAGAAAAACTGCAAAGCAATGTAATTTCGAATTTATCAAGTCTTATTTAGGCCCTTTATCCTGTGGTGAAAGTGTTGCTACTAGAAACTGGCAGGAACATTCTCCAAGGGATGCATGAGCGTTTTCTAAGGTTGAACAGAGTAGCCATTCTTGCTTTCAAGATCTCTCTCTCTATATATAATGTATTGATAGAGATTTAAATGTCCAACACATGAGGAATACGTGTTCTCAGAAGAGCAAAAAGAATCTTTATGAACAATTGCATTGGAGTTCACAACTCAAATGCACAGAGAACTACTTGGTCTATATTTGGTTTCTTAATAACCTCTACATTCTCTTCCACAGGATGACAAAATGACAGGATGAGGGGACCACTGACATGGTATCATTTGGGAAGGCACAAAGGATACTGACTTTCCTTCAATTATTGGTCTCTAGTGGAGCTCCATTTTTCTCTCCATTTTTCACCCTCCAAATATACATATACGGACAAGGAAGTCAAGGACATTGACTGAGTTGGAGGGTGCAGGGGACTCTCTATTTCTCCTTCCACTTTGGACATGTGATGGTCTGGGAACAGTTCCCCCAGAGAGTCTTCCTCCTCTATGGCCAGCAGCCTTGTGAGGGAACAATTATATAAACTCTGGTCTGGGTCTTAACAAGACATAGTCTTTCTTTTTTCTCACTTGTTTTTCTTCTGTGAGGTAGGTTGCCCTTCACCTTTGGAATGGTAATATACTTCCCTCAACAATTTTAAATTTCTTACTTAAAGCTCATCATGAGAAGTGTTAGTGTTTATTTCTCTCCTCTTTACTTTATCCAGTTGGTTATTCCTGGGTTTGGAGAGAACATCTGGACCTCACCTCCACATGCACCAGACCTCTGTTCTGCTAAAATAACTAGGAGAGCTGGTAGTCAGTAAATGTGATGCTGTAACAGATCATTTTTAAAATCTCAAAGGCTTAACTAAATTAAATCAGATTTCTCTCTGTCATGGTATCATAGTCTAATACAGTCAGTAAGGGGACAAATTTCTTGACATGGCCATTCATGAACCTGTGTCTCTTTCATCTTTTAATGCTTTGTGTTTCCATCATATTCAGTATTTTGCCTGTAATATTTCCAGAGAAGGGAGGGAGACTGGGATAGATAGGGAGTTTCATGGCCAGGCCCGGAAATAGTTTGCTTCACTCTGCACATTTTCCATTGGTCTCAGAACTAGGTCAACCTAACCTCCAAAGGGGCTGAGGAAGGTAGTTTAACTGTGTATAGGAGGACATGAACATAAGCTAGTGGCTCTGTCACAATAGTCCTTTCTAGTACCGATTCTTGGGAATATAGTACAGGGTTCATGTGACCTGAAGGTCACCCTAGCGCTGGACAATTGTGGTGTCCACTGTAGCATTTGAGAGTCTGGCTGCTCTAGAGCACATGGACCAGAGTAATGACATTTTTATGGTCATTTTGTTGAATATTTTTACAATGTGTTTTTGTAGTACATTGCTCAACATTTTAAAATAAATGCATCACAATTACAAATAGCATCAAGAGGCAGTAAAGGCACAGAGGACACATAATATCCTGCACATCAGATACCCTGAGTCCCATTAGATGAGCATCATAGGGCTAAACTTTGAATTATGCAAACCTTGTGTTCTGTTGAGTTCCAAGATTTTGGGGGTAAGCTAGGAGAGTGGGCCTTGCACCATCTTCAGTGGATAGCCAGGTAGCGTGGCAGTTACATGTGAGATGTCTACCAGCAAGGGACTTATATAGTAATGGTAGAAAGACAGGGGTTGAAGAAAGGTTGCTGTCCAGGGAAGATGGCAACATGGGCCAGGATGGTTTTGGTAGCTGGGATCAGGGACAGAAGAGAAACAGTTGGTCCCATGCAACAGTTAGGAGACCCATCTTGGTTACCCAGTGAACTACCTTCATGTAGTTTAATGAAACAATCATTGCCCAGGAGAGTTAAGTTTGCTTTGTTGGTGTATACTTTCTTTAATCCCTCAGAGCAGTAGTTTGGAATCATATTTGCCAAGTTTCTGATACTCTTTTTGTTAAGAGGTAGAGTCTGATTTCCCTGTCCTTGAGTATGGGCTGGCCTGAGTGACTTGATTCTAATGAGCAGAATGTGACAAAGGCAGTGCTGTATGTGACTTCCCAGACTAAATCATAAAAGTCTTTCCCTTGGCTGTCTGCTTCTCTTGAGAGCTTTGCTTTTAGAAACCAGGTGCCACACTATGAGAAAGTTCAGGCCACACAGAGATGCAACATGTAGACACGTGGCTGACAGCCCCAACTGAGGTCTCAGCTGACAGCAAGCATCAACAGGCAGAAACCTGAGTAAGGAGGCCTTCCAGATAACTCTAGCTCCAGCCACCATCAGACTGTAACCACAAGAAATACCCCAAGTGAGAGCCACCTAGCTGAGCCCAGTCAATCCCCCAAAATGTGAAAGATAAGAATGATAATAATAAAATAGCTGTTGGGATTTTTAAAAATTTATTTATTTGAGAGAGAGAGAGAGAGAAATGGAGCAGCGGGAGGGGCAGAGGGAGAGAGAGAAGCACACTCCCCGCTGAGCAGGAAGCCCGATGCGAAACTTGATCCCAGGAGTCCGGGAAGTGACCTGAGCCAAAGGCAGACGCTTAACCACTTAACCCGCTGAGCGACCCAGGCGCTCTAGCTGCTGGTTTTTTAATGCAACTAAGTTTATTCTGCAGCTATGGATAACTAAACCAGGAGGCAATGTTATGGAAAACCCATTCTCATTTTCCTCGAATTCCTCTATGCCTCCCAAGTACTTTAAGCTATAGTATTTGAAAGAGTGGAGTATTTGGAGCCAGGGGCACAGAGGACACAGCGATGCAGACTGCCTGGTTCTTGAAGCAAAATGTATGTTCCTTGGGTCTCTTGTAAAATGGGAAGGGATAAAAGCATCCTCGGAAAACTTTGGTATTTTAATTCTCCTGCAATCAGCAATCTAAGTAAAAACATGTGCTTAGCAGCGCAAATGTAGGCTGGGGACATGGGTTGTAAGCACCCCTAATTCCGCCCGAAGGTAGATGGCTGCCCTTCAGCCACTTAGTCTCTCTGGAAGTTTTCTTGTCATCTGCATGATATAGATAACTTACCTACCTTGCGGAATTCTTTTAAGAATCAGTTGAGATAACGTATGTAATTCAGTGAGCCCAAGGCTTGACAACACCCAGTACATATACAGTAAGTATTAGCCAATTTTATTATACAAGGTCTCACCGTTTATCCGCAGCATCTTACTCTGAGGAAATACCACTGTTTTGCTGTTAGTTAACAATCTATGTCTGATAGCCACACACCCCCCCATTTGGTGATGATTCAGCAGTGCTTGTGACACTTGGTTACAGCTCAGCTAAGTGCTAGCTGGATACACTTGAACAATTCCTTCAAGCTGCCGTGTTTCCCCATCTATACAACGGAGGTGATAACAGCCACGATCCAGCATGGCCGCAAAAGTTGAATGGGGCTATTTGGGACTAAGGCCACCCCAAGGTCAGCAAGAGGGACAGTTGTGTCTTTTCCCAGCAGTGTCATTTGCATTTTCTTTGTTTGTAACCTCTGAGGAATTTATGGGAAACACAGTTATTAGGAAAACAAAATACCCAGTCAACTTTTTTCTTTACGTGTGACTAGTGTCTTCTATTTTGCTCCCAGGGCTTACAAGTGGTGTGGATGGGATGCCACACAGGCTCATCACAGTGGCAGAGAACCACCTACCATCGACAACAGAGCCAGTATAGAATAGAGTCTCCACACGGAAATGGCAAGGCTCCATAGCTGGTGCCATTTTCCTACTCTTCTTAGCAGCCTGGGATTGAGCCTCAGAGAAAGGGTATCAGCGCTGGAGTCACAGGTAAATCTAATATCACTTCACTGAGACTAATTTGGGGGTCTTTAATTCTCCCCTGAGTTAAAAAAATAATAATATTTTTCTCTCCTCCCTTCTCCTGTTGGATAGAAGTAGGCAATTATATAGCGACTCATTGAATATTTTTGACGAGGGCCTATTGCTGTAGCTACACAACCCAATTAAATCTATAACTGAATTCGTAGAGTCTCAGTTTCCGGTAGATTCTACTTCAGATGGAGCATTTTCCCCTCTTTGCTGCCAGTAAACACCACCCCCACCCTCCTCTCCATCCCTTGTAGTAGAATTGTCCTGTAAAGGAATGACTTTGTTTTTATTTACATTAACTATTCTCTATTCTCTATTTTATATACATTAACTATTCTCTATTTTCCTGAGTATTCGTCAACCTGACAAATACTTGAAATTGTCAATATTGATTCAGAATCTGAATAGAGTATATGTTATATTTCAATATATACTTTAAGAATGTGTTAATATTTAAGAACCCAGACCTTCGGATTATATCTCAATTTGGCAGAAGTAATACTACTCTGTCTCAATATTTGGAATGAATTTAACATACATTTTTTTCCCTCTCTACAGCCAGTTTTTGCAGTAAAGAATTGAATTTCATATCAAGGCACAATACAAAAATAGAGAAGGGGATTTGTAAATACTAATTATTCAAATCCAAATCCATATATTCCTATTTTTCTTACTGATTTTAATACTGTCAACATTCAGGCAAATTGGTTTCTTTCTCGACATTTTTTTCAGGAGCATATTAACTTGTGTTAGATTACAAAAAAAAAAGAGAAATTCAGTAACAATAAGAAAAAAACACTGAAATGAGAGAAAAGTAGGTGTTTGAGGAGGAGAACCATTTCATACATTTTCTACCAAAAAATGCTGTTCTCTCTTTAGACCTTCATCACTTTCTTTTGCAAAGCTGTGGAACCTTAGTAACATACAAATTTCTAGTTACCATCTATTGATCTATGATTCAAGAAACAAAAATTACGGTTGAATGCATGCTGATTTCTTTGAGTCATTTTGACTTTGTTAATAATTAGGGTCCAGAAATTACCTACCTTGTGGCCTTTTGCATATTCTAAAATAAACACAGAGAAAGTAACGCTTGAGTAAAGATATTATTCTCAAGTTTTAAATCTTGGCACAACCCACTGAGAAGAACTTGTTGTCACATACCCAAACCATACTCCACACACTCTATCTCTAAGGAAAGCTTCAGCAATTTGCCTAGGTAAACAACAGAAATGCACGCCCATGCTCATGCCCTCGGTGGTGCAAAACTGTTCTTATTAAATATTGAGTGGATTTGGAAGAATGTTTATAAAATATGTATAAGGCAAAATAATAATATAAGGGACACACATGTACCCCCTTCAACCAGTTTCAGAACAAGGATAATATCTATGAGACCCTCTGTGAGATTTATTCTGATCTCAACCCCATTGCCTCTCCCTTTGGAGGCAACTCCTTGATTTTTGTTTTTAATTGAAATATAGTTGACACACAACGGTATGGTAGTTTCGGGGGTACAACATTAACAACTCCATACATTATGGCTACCATGTGTCACCTTACAGCCCTCTTACAATATCACTGACTCTATTCTTTATGCTACACCTTTCATCCCCTTGACTTACTCATTCCCTAACTGGAAACCTGCACCTCCCACTCCCCTTCACCCATTTTGCCTCTTGATTTTTTTTAATCGTTTATCACATGCATTTATATTCCTAAAAATAAAATCATTAAATTTTCCATGGTTTTTTTTTTTAAACTTTATGCTTTGAACATACTGTCTGTACACATTCTTTTTCCACTTTCTTTTTGGCAGAGCATTATGTTTCAGAGATTCATACACACTGTTCCCTGCAACTACATTTCATCCATTTCTACTGCTAAGCACTGTTCTGTAGCATGGGTATGCCACAACGTTATTTCTCCATCCTACTGTTGATCTCCATGTGTGGGGGAGGGTTCCAGTTTTACGAAATTATCAACCATGCTCAGTACAAGCACGAACATTTTTGTAAATGCATCCTAAGATGGACATGCCTAATTTCTCTAAGACATACCCTTAAAGTCATCAATTTCTGGCCCACAGGGTATGCACATTTTAGCTTTTCAAAAACTGATTAATTTCTTTCTAAAGTAATTGTAAAAAATCTATTACATTCCCCACCCCCCCACCAGTCAGTGTAGGATATTGTCCATGTTTTTAATTTTTGCCAGCTGGTCAGTATATCATAGTATCTATCTCTTTTGTAGTTTGAATTAGTTTCTCCCTCGTTCCTAATAAAAATTGCTACTTCATGTAATTAATTGTCACTCGTATTTCTTCTTCTATGAAGTGTGCCTTTAAGATTTTTCTTTCTCTCTCTTTTTTAAAATTGGGCTATTTGTCTTTTCATTATTGATTTGTAAGGAAGAGTTCTTTATATAGTCTAGATATGAATTTTGGGTTACTCGTATTTGTTTCAAAAATCTTCTCCCCATTTGTGACTTTTCATTATTTTGAACTTCTTCTAGAAGGTCTCAAACATGACATAGTCAAGTGTATCAATATTTATTTTTATTATTTATATTTTTGTGTCTTTAAGAATAATTTTCTCCTTAACAATGCTTAAAAAGCACAATCTCTTATATTTTCTTCTAAAAGTATTATTAATAACTATTCAAAGTTAAGTCCTGGGGCACCTGGGTGGCACAGTCAGTTGAGCATCTGACTCTTGGTTTCAGCTCAGGTCATGATCTCAGGGTTGTGAAATCAAGCCCCATGTCTGGCTCCATGCTCAGCAGGGAGTCTGCTTGAAGATTCTCTCCCTCTGCCCCTCTCAACATTCCTTCTCTCTCTCTCAAATAAATAAATAAATCTTAAAAAAAAACCAGTTAAGTCTTAAGTCCCACTTAATTGATTGTTGTGTTTGCTATGAAACAAGAACCCTATATAATTTTTTTCCATTTAGATAACTAAATGTCACATCGCCATTTATTGAACTGTCTCTCCCTTCTCCACAGATTTTCAGTAAAAGCTTTGTCATATACCAAGCTTCCATATATACATTAGATGCTTTCTGGGACCTCTATTTTCATCCATAGGTCAATTTGGCTATCTCTAGGCCAATACTTTGTTGTCTTATTAATATAGCTTCATAATAACTCTTGATTTCAGGTAAGGCAAGGCTCTCAACTTCTTAAGCCTTGGATATTCTTGGCAATATGAAATTCCACATATATTTTAGGATAAGTTTGTCAAGATTATAAAAAAATCATTTTGGCATTTGATTGGAATTTCATTGCATCTGTGTAGATCAATTTCAGTAGTTAAGGCTTAGAATCTCCCTGGATGTTCTGCTGTTGCTGTGTCCCGTGTAATTTTATGTAAAATTCTGTCATTATAATTCAGGTGTAAATATTTTCTAATTTCTATTAATATTTCTTCTTTGATCTGTGTGATATTTAGTTGTTTATTTCTTAAGTCTACAATGCTTAGATTTTAAAAAATTATCTTTATGACATTGATTTCTAACTTAATTGTTTTGTGGTAAGAGAAGACAGTCTATGAGATCTTTTTCCAAATTTATTGAGACTTGCTTTATATTCCAGTACATGGTAAATTTAAAAAAAAGTCTATTACATATGTGTTTGAAATTGACTTTGTAAAGAATTTAACCCAGACCAAAAGGTTGTGATAAAAATTTTAGTTACTTATAGGACTGTTAAGTTTGTCAATTTCCCCCTGGGTTAGTTTTAATGAGATATTAGTAATTTCATCACATCTGTATTCTAGTTCATATTTTTCTTAACAGATATTCCTAATCTGCTGCTAAAACCATTCATTGAGTTTTAAATTTTCAGTTATATTTCTGCCACTTTGAAATGCTTTAATTTTTTTTATCTTGTTTGTTTGCAGGTGTATTGTTCTTTATTCATATTTTATCTCCTTCTTTTATATCTTTAAACATATTGAACCTATTTAGAAAACCTACAGTGTTTCTAGTAATTCAATATCTGCATCATTCTGGGTCTGATTCTGTGCTCTATTATTTTTGCTGCTTTGCACTCACCATGTTTGATGTTTTACTCCTTTTGACTATGAATTCATATTTTTGGGAACTTGATCTAAGAGAATCCTTTGAGGTAAAGGTAGAAGCTCAGTTTGTTCAAAGGAGATTTTGCATTCTGTCCAGTACCTGGGGCATGTTTAGACCAGGACCACTTTAATACATCTCCTTAGGTTTTATTGGATCACCCCAAGTGTGTGAATTCCAGCTGCAATCTACATGAGAAATAACCTATTGTTACATATATTCAGAAGGAAGATTCCCCCCCTCCATTCATTACCAAATTTTAATATAAACGTTTCTTTTCTTTTCCTTGTAGGAAGAAGTCTAATTCACTTTTATTTTGAAGGTGTAGCCTTTTGAGTTCCAGCATTATGCATGTATGCAGGCATAAGAGTGATCTTCTATTAGACTCTCTGCTCTGGGTAGGCTCAGAGCTTTGTATCCTATCCCCCACGCCTATGAGGCCAGGACATCTGAAGCTCAAATTCACCTGGTTTGGCAAACATTCTCAAGATCAAAGCTAGATTAAAGTTTCCTTCACCTCTCTAAGTTTCTGCTTTAATTTAATTTTCAGCTCTGAGCGATGGTTACTAATTTGAAAGCTCGTTGATACATGAAAAATAATTAGATGTTTCATCAAACAGGGTTTTTTAGTTATATTTAGTGAGTTAGGATTTTTTTTAAAGGTATGTAGCCTGCTATAACACTGTGTAGAAAAGTGATTTTCACATGTTTTCGTCTTCAGACTCCCTCAATTATAATTATTTTGCTTTAGTTTTTTTTTTAAAGCTTTATTTCTTTCAGGCAACTTTGTAAAATGTTAGCAATTTTTGTTGTTTTAAACTGTAAAACACTAAAAAGGATCTAAGTCTTATATTTGATCTGTACAAGTAGAAAAGTACATTT